TGCCTCAGCATGGGTGTGCACCACATCCCGAGGTGCACAGCCAGAAGGGCCTTTGGAGCAAGGGAGGACCCACAAGCCTGCAGGTCGTACAACTGGGTGAGTATAGCAGTGGCTTAGAGCACAGAGGGACACAAACACTAGCAGCGGACCTGAGGAGAAACCACACTGTTTATTGACCTTTCACGGCAGGAAAGGCATGCAGGACTCAGTGCATGTGCACCCGTGCACACACGTGATGTGGAGACAAACTAGACCTTAGTGGTAACTAATTGTCCCTCCCCCATACCTGCTGGCTTCCAGTACTACAGGCCCTGGAAAGAAACCACCCAAACTCACAGAGGAATTTGTTGGACTCATTTCTCCTTTTCAGCCTTTCTCTTTCCATTTCTTTCCTTCCTTCTTTCTCTTTCCTTGTATTTTTGTTCCTTATATTTCTTTTCTTTTTCTTTATTTTGTTGCCTTAACCTAATTTATTTACTCTTTTATGTATTAATTAGACTCACGTTTCTCTCCTCCTTCACATCTTCTTTTTTCAAATTTTGCTACTTTAATTTTTCCATGTCCTCACTTCCTCCATTTTTATTACAATCAAGTTGTTAGTTGTTTTAGACATTTAGCTGATAAAAATATACTATTCTTGAATTGTTTTCTATTGTTCATAGTGGAACAGTTGTTGCATTTAGTACATACTCTGTCAATATTTGGCTTGTCTTGTGTCTGTGTTATTATTGTAGCTCTCTTTTCTATTGATAATGGTGATATAGTGGTAGCTTTTATTAGTTCTTATGGTATTTGATATCTGGTTTGTCTCTGACCCTTATTGCTGATTTCTTGGCCATTGCCACTGGTGGCATAGTTATTCTCTTGATTGGTTTTTACTATATGCCTGGTCTGTTTTTGTGTCATCAATATCACTGTCGTTCATTTGCTCCTCTGTGTTGTAGGGATCAAGCCACAGAGGAAGGTTGGACACTAAGAAGACCCTCACATATGCTGAGTGTAGGTTGAAGAAAGGTATAATAAACATGAAAATAACTACACACAAGAACATATCACAGGAAGACAGACTAAACAGTCACAGCAGGGACAGAGTTTTCCACCCTAACTGCCTGCAGCACAAAAACAATAGAAATATGACAAAGCAAGGCAACACAATGCCTTTAAAAACCTTTAGCTCCTCAAAATTACACTAAAGTAATTTATAAGCAAGAACTGAAAAACTAAATGGCCAAAATGTTTGAAGACAGCTCAAAGAAGAAACATATAAGTAATTTCATTAGGCATTCAATGAACGTCAGGAGAATTTTATTGAAAAGATAAAGGATTTTACTAATAAAATTTTGATGAAATAGAAACAAACAATAAACTAATATAGCTACACAAGACAATGCAAGATATTCATGACCAATTTGGTAAAGAATTAGAAATTGTGAAAAGCAAGCAGAAATATAAGCTATGAAAATTTGAAGAAAGCATGGCTAGCAGTTTTGACCAATATGTGAGAAGCTGAAGACAGGGTGAATTTAGTAGAGCATAAATGTCATGACACTCCATAACAGACACCAGACAAGCTGGATCCCCCCAGCTACGAGAAGAATAAAAAACCAGCATCAGAATTAGGAATAAAGGTACTGTTAGAAGATGATGCAAAAATGCTGATGAGTTTGTGAGGAGAAAGAAACTCTCTATGTTGGTGCTAGGAATATAAACTACTACAACCACTATGGAAGTAAGTGTGAAGATTCTCCAAAAACTTAAAAATAGAAATTCCATTTGACCCAGCTGTATCTTCCCCAAGCAGTTAAAGAGAACAAATTAAGTGATGTGTGCATATCCACATTTACAGCAGCACAACTCACCTTAGCTAAATCTTGGAAACAGCTTGTATGTCCATCCATCAACATACAAACACATGAAGAAAGCATGTATATACACAGCGAAGAACTACTCAGCTATAAAGTATAAATTTGAGTCATTTGGAGGAAGATGGATGCACTTTGAGACTACAAGTGAAATAAATCAGATACACAAGCTTAAACATTGCATGATTTTTATTATAGGAGAGACCAGTGCAAGGAGAAAAACAAAAGATAGGTGATGGGAAACAGGGACATAGACCTTGGGCTTTGAGAATAGGATTTAGGGTTGGAGGGAGAGGGAGGTAGGGGAAGGGGATGTAAAAAGGACTAAGATGAAATATATACCCAAAACTCCCATGATAAATGTATTTATTTTGTGTCACAAGCATGTACTAATAAAATATCATTTAAAAAGAAACAATACAAAAAAACTGAAGGTTAAAAATTATATGATCATTCAATAGATGCAGAAGAAGTATTTGATAAAATTCAATAACCCTTCATGATAACTTCCTGATCAAATTGGATATACAAGAATCATACTTCAAGATAATAAAGGCTATCCATGACAAACATACAGCCAACATCATACTGAACTGAGAAGGATTGAAAGCAAAATGAAGGTTTCCACTCTTATTTAGTAAAATAGAAGTTTTAACTAGAGCAGTTAAGCAAGAAATGAAATGCATACAAAGAAGAAAGGAGCAAGTGAACTTATCTTTACAGATGATATGATTCTACACGAAAAACCTAGTCTCCACCAAAATACTGTCAGAAGTGATAAATTCATCAAAGTACATGTCAGGTACTTTCTGGTCATGACACAATAACCCACACCTATGACTTAAAGAAGGAAAGGTTTATTTTGGGTCACAGTTTGTAGAGATTCCAGTCCATAGTTGGTTCCAAGGCAGGGTGGCATGGCAGAGGGGTCTGGCAGAGGAGAAACAGCTCATGGCTTGGCAGACAGAAAGCAGAAATAGATGAAGGAAGAAGAGGGAGAGAGAGAGGGAGGAAGGAAAGAAGGGGATAGATAGACCATTCCCATCCACACCCCCAGTGAACCACCTCCGCCCAGCAGGCTTCATCTCCCAACATCACATTTAGCTATAAATCCATCAGTGGACTAACCCACGGATGAGTATCCATGATCCAATCACCTCTACAAAACCCATGTCCAAGCACACAAGGCTTTGGGGGGTGTCTAAATATAAACCATAACATAGGATACAAAATCCACATACAAGAAAACAGTCATTTTTTAAAATACAGTAACTGCTTTCAAGACATACTATAAAGCCATAATAACTAAAACAGCATGACAATGCCATAAAAACATGCACATCTACAGCCAAGTTATTCTGGATAAAAGTGCCAGAATATGAAATGGAGAAAGGACAGTCTTTTCAATAAATGGTGCTTGGAGAACAGGACATCCACAGCACAACATGGAAACTTGACCTATCTCTCACCTCATACAAAAACCAACTCACAGTGGCTCAGAGCCCCAGAGGGAGGACCTGGAACTCTGAACTCTGAAAGAACTAGGAGAAAACAAGAGAAACGCTTGAAGACATTGAAATTGTCAATGATTTTTCTGACAACCCCCAAGACAGGAAAGAAATGCAAAACTTGAGAAATTAAGATTACATCAAGCTAAAAATTTTCTGCACAGCTTGAGAACTAACAGAGAGAAGAGAGTTTATCCAGTGGGAGAAAACATTTGCTAGCTATTCATCCAACATTAAAATCCAAAATATAGGGGCCGGGGATTTGGCTCAGTGGCACCTGTGCCTGCCCTGCAAGCACAAGGTCCTGAGTTCAATCCCTGGTACCAAAAAATCCAAAATATATAATAAACTCAAAAATCTTAATAAAAAAGCAATCCTCTGAAACAGGCAAATGATTTGAATATGCACCTCTCAAAATACAAATGGTGAAAATTGAGAAAATGCTCAATATCATTAACCATCAGGAAAATGCAGATCAAAACTATAATGAAAAACCCTATCATCCCTATTAGAATGGCTATTATTTTTAAAAACACAAATAGCATGTTATCACAGACAAAGAGAAAAAAAGAACTCTAATTTCTGGTTGGTGGAAATGTAAATTAGTGTTGCAACTATGGAAAACAACAGGAGATACCTCAATAACTACCAGTGGTGCACTGTGTGATTCAGCTAGCTGACTTCTGGGGTACATGGCCAAAAAAATGAAAACAGCCTGCCAAAATGACACCTGCATGCTCAGATATGGTACCTTAGGTGCCCATAAAAGATACATGGATTAAAAAATGGTGGCATCTATACACAATGATGCAGGGTTAGCCAGCCACAAACTAGTGAAATCCTGTCCTTCGCAGGAAAGTGGCTGGAGCTGGAGGGCAGTGTGTACGTGAAATTTGCAGACATAGAAAAACAAGTACTGGGGCCAGGGATTTAGCTCAGCGGTTTGGTGGCCTGCCTCACAAGTGCTAGGACCCAAGATGGATCCCTGGTACCACACACACACAAAGAAAAGAAAAACAAGTACTGCTTGTTCTCTTTTATAGTGTAAACTAGAAAAAGTTGACCTTAAAGTAGATTAGGGACCACTAGGGTTTTGGGAAGTGGAAGAGGAAAAGAGATGTTGGATTTGGTCAACGCGCTCAACATATATGTGTGGGAATATCACACTGAAACCCACTAATATGTGTAATCAACACGTTAAAATGGGAATGTAGATTCTTCTGCTCCACAACATACTAGTTTAGAAACTTAAAGGAAAAGATTAGGCTGTTAAGCAGTGCATTTATTTTTCCTTTGTACTTGTGAAACTTGTTCCCAAATAATCGTAGCATCCGCGCAGCTACTCGGACCGTTAGCATTCCCCTGATTCTGAGAGCCTGTTAATCTCACCTGTGCATACCTGACCACCGCTCTTCCCTCTGGCTGTCGAGGGTAACCCAAGGTAGGCTGCTGCTTTTATGCCCCTTTGAGACAGATGTCATCTCTGAGTCTCAAGCTGCAGATGCTGGCAGCAAACACCAGCTGAAAGTTGTGAATTGGCGTGGGATCAGAGAAGCCTGTATTTTAGGACTTACTCTGGAGACTTACTTTACAACCAGGAAGCTGTAGAATGATTTGAATTTATTTTTAGGGTACACTGTGACAAGAGGTCACGAGTCCTGTGTGCCAGCCTGAACGCTGACCATCGAGAAGTAGATGCCTCTCTGCGCCAGCAGCTGCTGATGGGTGCCCTGCTCCCTGACCTTGCCGTTCTCGATCACCACGATGACGTCTGCGCTGTGGATGGTGGGCAGCCGGTGCGCAATTACGATGCAGGTGCGGCCTTCTCTGGCTCGGTCCAGGGCTTCCTGGACCACCTGAGAAAAATTAGATAGGAGACCCGGCCTGAACACTATACAAGTAGGTTCTAACATTAAAGGAAATTGAAAGGTTTTACCGTCCTGGTAAGTGAGCTATTTTAATTTCTAATCTCTGAGTCTTTATCTATGTGCAGTGGACACAACTGACATTATGATCTGCCTATGGTTGTGTTGCTCTTTAATTCTAGTACAAATGGAGTCCCATGGTGTCAATTTTCACAAGTATTTAAATGCTTGAACTAATCACCATATCATTTTACTTAATTCCTTTTTGAGTATTTCCTAGTTTTGCATGATTATATTTAGTGTGCTGAAAATGCAGTTTACCTATTTTTTCTTCTGAATGCCTGTTTTCTGCATATGAAAGTAAAATGTGATAATTTTAGAACATTTGGAAGAAAACACAGCATCTGTTACCTCACAATCGCCATGGCTGACTCAGTTTACCCTCTCCTCCCACGTCCCCTTCCCTCTGCACACTGACTTGGCCAACTGAGCCAGACCTTTTCGCTCTCGGAATCCAGCGCTGAGGTGGCCTCGTCCAGCAGCAGTATTCGCGGCTGCCTGACCAGGGCCCGGGCGATTGCGATCCTCTGCTTCTGCCCGCCGGAGAGCTGAGTCCCCTTGTCCCCCACTCGAGTCTGGTATTTCTGCAGGGAGCAAGGAGAGTGAGTGGGGCTCACGCCCAGGGCCTGGCTGTGAAGTGCAGGAGTCGCACTTGCACCTGTTTCATGTAGAGTCACAGAGACTCTGTGACCAGGCAGGGACCCGTTTAATAATGTTTTCAACTCAACACGATGTTTGTTTCCAAAATTAAACTAAATGGCTTTCGTTTTCCATGGTGTTCTATAACAGAAACACAAGCATCAAATTCCTGAGTGTTACCAGTATCATAATGCCACTTAGTCTGGTGTCTCTGGGTCCTAAAAAGTGCAATGCTGATACTTTCACAATATTTAAAAAATTTGAAATATTCATACCCATGTGGAGTCTAGGTTATTCTCTCTTTTAATACTTTAATAACCACTATTCAATTAAACATTTACTAAGTATCTTCCAGATACTCTTATCAGAACTGGGAAATACCAAAAAAATAGTAAATTTAGTTTTTGTTTTTGCTCAGAGAGAATTTGTGCTCTAGAGAGAAACACCCTCACACACACACACACACACACACACACACACAGCACTCAATTTCAGGTCAAGTAAGCACCAAATTAATGGTACACATACTATGTTCAGAGAACATTCTGGGCCAAGAAAGAAAATAGAATAGAGAGAAAAATGAAGTCAGTTGTTTGCAGAGCTTACGAGGCAATAGCACCATGGGAATTAGCTCCTCAATGTCCAGTGTTATTTATAACAGCTGAACCTCTCAAAGTGTTTTATTCATAGTCAAATCCAATACTTAAGTCAGTGCATTAAAGGTTAAGAAGACAAACGAACATAACTTTAAAATTATCTGTGAGCATGAGTGATTTCTAATTATAGCAGGGTATAAAAGCAAAACTAGGTCCCCTTCCCACTTCCAAAAGATATACCTTCCTATTTCCTATTATCTATATTGTATGTTGTTTTTTATTTATACTTTTTTTTCTTCTTTCTTTTTGAGACCAGGTCTTGCTTTGTAGCCCAGACTGGCCTGGAACTTGCTGTAGTCTTCCTGCCTCAGCCTCCTGATTGCTGGGATCATAGGTGTGCACCACCATGCCCAATCTTTTGGTTTCTTACATAAAAGAAACCATGTGATATTTAAGCTCCCGTGTCTGATTTATTTCACTTAACATCATGGTCTGATGGCTCATCCATTTTTCTTCAAATTGCTGGAGGTGAGAAGGGAAAATAAAAAGAATTAAGACCCATTATGTACAGGTGTCAACTCCCCAAATGAATGTAATCATTACGTCCTATGTGATATGTACCAATAAAAATTAAAATTTAAAAATCTTCCATGCAGTAATTCATGCAAATGCCATCAAGTGCCTTAAATCAGTATGAGTTGAAGAATAAAGCAATGACACTTCCCCCCTCAGTTTTATTGGGGAATGACTAGTAAAAAACAAAAAAAAAAACTTCTGTTTATTTAAGGTTTTAAAAAAAAAGCAAAGCTAATTCAGCTGTACTTCAATTTAGAGGCATGGAACTGTTAATGCTGGATGGAGAGTGACATCACCTTCAGGGACCTTGACTCATCTCTGCAGAACTATGCTTGTTTAAAAGAAGCTGGTGCCACTGCCTGTCTTGAAAGTGCAGGGTCCTGAGTACAAAAAAAAAAAAAAAATCGACACAGAAGGGACCACAGATGTAACATAAGAGTAAAATTTTTAAAAAATATGGATAAAATCTTTGGGGGTCTAGTGCTACGCAAAGAGATTTTAGATTTGAAATCAAAAGTAAGATCCATAAAAGAAAAAACTAAAAAATTAGATCTCATTAAGTTCAAACTTTTGCTCTGCAAAAAACCTGTTAAAAGGATAGAAAAACACATTATAGTCTTCAGAAAACATTTATAAACTGCATATCTGACAATAACTATATTTTAAAAACTCTTAAAACTCAAGTAAAAATAAAAGAAAGCAAAACAGTTACAAATGGATAAAAAACACTGAGCCATTTCTCCAGAGGATAGGTTCCAAATAAGCATGTAAAAATACTGTTCAACTTCATTCGCTTTTAGGGAATGCAAATCAAAACCATAATATATATTGTGATACACACCCATCAGAATGGTGAGAATAAAAAATAGTGACAACAGTGAATCTGAAAAATGTTCCAAGAAACTACATCACATGCATTGCTGGTGGAAATAGAAAATAGCATAGCTACTCTGGAAAACAGTTTAGCAGTCTTATATAAAGTTAAATATGTAGTTACTGCATGGACCAACAATTGTACACCTGGGTGATTATCCCAGAAAAATTAAAAATGTCAGTTCATACAAAAAAACTATACTTGTGCATAGGTAAGTACCTGTTATTTATAGTAGACATATTTGTAGTAACCCAAAACTAGAAATAATCAGACAACCTTCTACTGGGAAAGGCTAATTTATGGTTCATCCATTACATAGCTACCCTGCTACAAAACAGAATGATTTATAAACACACAACTTTAGGGAATTATGCTGAGTGAAAAAACTAGTTTGTACCTTAGTATGTAAATTTAGTTCACATATAAACATAAATTTACATACAGTATGTTTTATGTAATGACTTTTCCAAGTTCCAGTGCACTTGAGTTTGCTTCTGCAAGCTTGCTGTAGTCTGCCCACACAGGTTCTAGTCATTGTGGCTGGGGATGGGTTTAATTTCCATTCCCAGCTGTCCCTCAACACTTTTCAGGTGAAGCAATCATCGTATGAGATCAAGTTGATGGCTAAACCAGGTGATCAAGGCACCCTGCTCTTCCAATGCAACGAAGGTGTTTGCCAGCTTCGAGGCAGCAGAGTTCATTACCACCTCAGCAGCCCGACTGTCAATACTTCAGGTGATCATCAACACATGAGTGTGGCACAAACCATTTTGGAAATCATGGGATACACACTTTCGATGCTCCTGCTTTACTTTAGCATGATCACAGAAGCAAGAATAGCCTGGCTGAGAAATCTTGGCTAGCAATTTAACCCGCTGAAAGAAGCCACAGAAGAGGATCGACTCGTGCATGCGAACCCTGGAGAAAAGTGTGTCAAGGCAGTGTACTCTTTGGTACTGTTGTTCACACATAACCCTGAGTTACTCGCTTCAGAGTTAGTTTCTCCAGTAGGCCAATCTCAGATTGTTTCTGCAGATGGGAATTCGTGAACTTTTGTACACCAGGAAGGAAAGCAACAGAATATAGTAAAACACGTGATTTTAGATTGCACGAGAATAATATCCTCCAATATCTGCACAAAACTCTACGACAGCAACTTATCCACCTCATCCAGTACTGCCACCTGTGCGCGATCAACCTTTGCTGCTCCTTCCTCGATGACGCCCAGGACTCTCACCGAGCCTCTATGGCAGCTCGTGAACCGGTTCCTCCTGTGGCCGCCATCACCTTGGCCACACTCGGTGTTTGCTGACCCGGATGCAGCTGCTCTAGGGGACGATCACATTGCTGGCACACTGTCTTCCTTCAGGCCTAGTCGCTCAAGTAAGGGAGGAGGTGGGCGCCACTCTTGCCCATTCCTTTTCGCTCCAGTTAAGTTATCCCTACCAGACAAAGCAATGGAAATGCTCTCTTCCTGAATGGGAAATGTCTTTTCCCTGCCAATTAAAACAATTCTCATTAACAACTCCCATTTCAAACAGTATTCTTCAAATGCATTTCGTTTCGTGGCATTCTCATTGGAGGTTTTGATTCTTAGGTGCTTCCGAGGGAGTGTTGAAGTCTTGTGCAGTCACCACTAGGTTTTACTGTGGTTGCTGCTGGCTGCCATCACGACGTATGTGGGTGTCTCTTCCGGGGTAACCCTGAGCAATCTGCAACTGAGGCCCAAACTGGGACTTTTTATGTGTTTGCTTCCCTCTGCATTTGTGCGCAGTAGAATGGTGTTCTCCCACTGATGGATAAGCAAACCTGTCGTTCCAAGGTCAGTGCTAAGAAATGAATGGGTTCTGTTTTAAGACTATCGGTACAACTTTGGAAGTCGTTTTAGGAATAAAAACAGTAGTCCATTCTGATTTCAGCTAGGAACTTACTGATGACCAGTCATGATAACCAGAGCCCATGGGGAAAGGGTGCCTGTTTGAAGCCAAATACTTGTCAATTATTAACTGTGTTAACTTTAATTTCAAAAGCAGCTGTGTTTCTGATGAGTACTGAGCAAATGTATGTAAGTTCTGGGCCAGACTTTTGATCCCATTCTCCAGGACTACACAGGACAGGTGGCTGGAAACAGTAATCGTGCTGGGCTTCTATTTAACCCTGTTGGGACTAAACTGTGTCTTCTCTTATTATTTTCTTCCTGTGTGGTGATAAATGGCTGCCAGCAGTTGGTGCTGTGTTGGCCTAGATGTAGCTTTATATACTCATTTATAGTTATTTCTTACACCTTGTAGCACACTACACATTCACCTGTCAGGGCTTTTACAAATGTAGGCCTATAAAGGTTAATTAGTAACAAGAAAGAAAATTGAGCATGTTTATGGAATAATTTTGCAGAAGAAGAGAATCTACTCAGTTCCATATTTCATCCATGAAAAACAATGTGGCCATTTCAAGAATTAAATGAAAAGGAAGTGAAGTCCCTGCGAAAGCTTGCGGCTGGATGTGCCTGATACCTGTGTTACCATCCTCGATTTCAGAATTGACTCACATGGGGCAGCGTCTCGATGAACTGGTGGATGTTGGCTGCCTTGGCCGCGCTCATGACCTCCTCCTGGGTCACCGCCCGGCTGTTGTCCCCGTAGGCAATGTTCTCCTCGATGCTGCAGTCGAACAGGACAGGCTCCTGGGACACGATGCCCAGCTGGGCTCGGAGCCACTGCACATTCAGTTTCTTTGCTTCCTGACCATCCAGAAGCTGAAAACCAAAGCCCTCAAATGATAAGGAGGCTTTGAAGAGGGAAAGAAAAGCCCCGGTGAGGCCCACTAACTGGAGGGTGTCTGTGTGTGGGCCTCGAACCTCAGCCTGACACGGCATTAATCGGCTTCCTGTCTCTGGGACACAGCCCGACTCCCACAACTTCAAGGAGAGGTGTAATCTGGCTCACAGTTTCAGGGAACCCTTGCTCTGCTGACTCCAAGGCAGAAACACTGTGGTAAAGGAGCAAAGCTGCTGAGTTGGGGTTGCTGGGAATAGAGCAGGGGAACAGCACCAGAGAGGAGAGGACCAGACGTATACCTGGGCCAGGCCTCCATGACCACCTAGAACTGGGCTCATTAATCTGCGAGGATTTCTTTCTTTTTTATTTATTTATTTAAATTTAAACACACAGTTGCAATGTGTAACAATCATGTTCACTCTGGGGTACACAGATCTCAAGTTGACATGCTGGGATGAACATGACCAACAAGACCAGCACTCCTTATCTCTGTCCAAATGGCAAACTGGTCACAGATTTGACTGTTCTGCATGCCCCTTTTAGCCTCTCCACATGCCTCTCTGTCCCTGTCTGCCCCCTACCCATGTCTGTCCCCTCTGCCTTTAGGATTCTGCATCAAGGGTCCCAACCACAACCTTTCAGCTTGGCTCTATCCATTTTCCCCTGGGAACACCAGAAAAAAATCTGGAAGCCCAGATTCTGAAAGCTCATAGCCCTGGCCCTATTCCCTCTCTTCCCTGAGAGCTGCAGTCTTCAGCTTCTCCCACTTTGGGTGACTGCTGGGCTGTGGGCAGGCTCCTGGGTAGGTGATGGTGTCACCCCACAGGAGTGGTAGGTGTAGTCATTATCACTTATAGCTACGGTGTCACTCAAGGGAGAGGACCAGAGGCCAGAGACCAGCATCAGTGACGAAAACCAGATGGGAAAGGACTAAAGCCAGATGGCTGGGAGTTCCAGTTGGACAGGTCAGGCAGAGCAGAAGGTGGTGGGGAGGGAACAAGCAGGCGTCAGGCTGGCCAAGGGGCCTGTTTTGAACCCAGGAGAGCCTGAGGTAGACTCAGGTCCTCGGACTCCTATACTTTTCCTCAAGAACTTCCACCTGCAAGCTTCTCCTTCTGATGGCACTAAGGGAAGAGCTGAATGGAAAGTGAAAAGCTACAAAGGGCAGTGTCTTCTAGAGAACTGTTTTTATACCAGTGGTTTTAATTTTTTGCTTTACTTGCTACAAATAAGTGAGTTTTGCTTAGGATGACCAGGCTGGGTCAAAGGCCCATGGCGGTGAGGGTTAACCCAGAATTTTCTAAGCCAGACAAGGTTGCAGCTGTCGTATCCTGTGGTCCCCAGATGTTTGCCTGATGCAGAGGCCAGTTTGGGATCTACATAATTACAGGTCCTCATCTGTCCAGTTCTTTCCATTGTGACCTTACTCTTGGCATGTGAGAGCAGCCACCGGTCAGTTTACTAAGAACATGTGCTTACCACTGCTCCAGCCACAGGGTCGTAGAAGCGCTCGAGGAGCTGCACCACCGTGCTCTTCCCACAGCCGCTGCCGCCCACCAGGGCCAGCGTCTGGCCCCTCTTCACCTCGAGGCTCAGCCCCCGCAGCACAGGCACGGTTGGCCGGGTGGGGTAGTTGAACACAACTTCGTTAAATTTCACATTTCCTTCAAATTTATCCTAAAATGTTTACATTATTAGTAGTAGTACTGATCTGATAATTATTTAATTAAGAAGTATTATTTCAAGGAAACTTTACCAAAAACTGCAATAGGGAAATATGAAATGAATATTCAATATACTGGTGATACTACTGCTAGCAAATTGTTATTCTACAAAACGAAGCTAGGAGGTGAGGGCATAGGTTAAACTAGGTACAAAGTCCTTACAGCCAAGCATTATGTGACTTCATTTCTAGTTCACTCAGGTAGGTATTTCGCTTTCCCCAGTGCTGATTCTGAGGCCAAAGCCATACTAATGGCCACAGGCTCAAAGGCTTAAGAATTGCAGCAGTATCTCTGGCCACAGTTCCAATGGGCAGCCCTTGTCTCAAACCCTGCAGCCTTTCCTCTCACTCAGGAGACAGAACAATTTTCTCAGAACGTAAAAAGCTCATAATGTCCTGGGAGGATTGTCCAAATCCCCAAATCTTTACTCACACTACTACTTGGACATCAGAATGCATAGAAGTTTATATGATACAAAGAACACTCAGATATGAGTTTGAGGTAACTCTGGAGATAATACCAGGTTATTACTCTTACGGTGAATAAACTGGCCTTCTTGCCTACTATAACAGCCATTATAAAATGTGATTAAAGTCAAATTGCTAATTGCATCAATGTGACAATTCTATACATATAACTTCTTGTAGAAATGACTATAAAGTTTTGTAGAAATTATTCAGTTCTAGCAATCTGATTTTACTTTTTGAAAATTTTCAACATGCTAAAATTCAGAACCCTTGAAAGCTCTGATGACATTTTAAGGTACCAGGAAATTTGGCCAAGTATTAGTCATGTACATTTCACAAAATAAGCTAAGTATATGTTGGTGTAATCACCACCAATGTATCACAAAGTTACAACCCAGCAGATTGCAAACCTTCAGGGAAAAACAATTGAGCCTTCATCAGGCAGCAGAAAACTCACAGGCCACAGCCCCAGTCGACTGTAGCTGTCAACCAAAGGCTGTCTCTGGAACAGCTGGAATAAGTGGGCTGCAGACAGCTTGGCTTTGGCATAGTCAGGAGCAAACGAGCTCGCGTGTCCTAGAGCCACAGCACCCAACACAATCGCTGAAAACACCCTAGACAGAAGGAATTCAGAATCAGCTTATATAAGTAGCAAGTCCAAAGGCATGCTGCTCACTATTGTGTAGCATATTCTTCCTTAATCATCCTTTCCCTACCACACATTTCCATGGAATTCCAAGAATGAAGGAATCTAGAAGAGACAAGACACACCGCTTCAGAGCGCATATTTCCTCTGCTTACCTTCCAGTTTCTACAGAAGCTCCTAATTTCCTAGAGATATGCAACTTTCCAGAGTTTTCCATTTTCAGGAAGTGGCTGATCAGGAATCTGATTTGTGATCTCAACTAATTTTAGAGGGTGAAAGAAGTGAAGCACAAAGTACTTAAGAGGCTCAATCAGCTCTAGAATAAGAATGCTATTTCCTGCTAGACTTGGTGTATGATTTCCTCAGTACCACAGACCAAGTGATAGAGATACCACTGTCATTAATAATTCTTACTAGCAGATCTTTACAGAGTAATCCAACCAACAGTTGCAGAATACACATTCTTTTCACCAGCACAAGGAATGTGTTCTAGAATTGACCATATATTAGATGACAAAACAATTCTTAAGTTTAAAAATACTGAAGTCCTATATATTTTCTGATTGTAAAGGAAAAAAACTAGAGATCAACAACAAAATAGACTTTTGAATTATACAGATGCATGGAGACTGAACAACACACTTTTGAATGAGAAATGGGTTATGAAGCAAGTTGGAAATTTAAAAATTTCTAGACATTAATGGCAACACAACGTATCAGAATCTGTGGAATACAGCAAAAGCAGAATTAAGAGGGAAGTTTATAACAATGAGTGCCTACATAAAAAAAGAATAACCTATTGATATACGTCAAGACCTTAGGAAAGATCAAGTTAAACCTAAAATTCATACAAGAAAAGAAAGAATAAAGCAGAAAAAAGTATAGAAGATCAATGAAAAATGAAGCTAGTTCTTTAAAAAGATAAAAAGGACAAATCTTTAGCTAGATTAACCATGACAAAAAAGAGACAAAACCTAAATACACAAAAATAGGAGTGTAAAAGGGAGCATTACAATTGAAATCACATAGATTAAAAAAAATCATTGGAGAGTATTGTGAAAAAATATATGCGAACAAATTGGAAAATAGAATAAATGGACACATTTCTGAATACATCCTACCAAAATTGAACAGAGAAGACATAAAATTCCTGAGTGCATCAGTAACAAGCAATGAGGTTGAATCTTCAATAAAAAGCTTTTCAACAAAAGAAAGCCTAGAGTCTCACTGCTGAATTTTACTAAACTTAAAAAAAACAAAACAAACTATCAGTCCTTCTCAAACTGTTTCATAGCATTGAGAGAGAGGAGACATTTCCAAACTCATTCTATGGCCATTACTTTGTTACCAAAACCTGACAAGCACAGCACCACAACAACAAACAAAAAAAAATGGAAATAAAGAAAAAATAGAATTATAGACCAATTTCCCTATTCTAACATAAATACAAAAAATCCCCAACAAAATACTATCGAATTGAATGCAATAGCACAGCAAAATGATTATACACATGGGCAAACTGGTTTCATCCCAGGAATAAAAAAGATGGTTCAACACATGTAACTCAGGGAACATACTACATCACATCAACAAAATGAGGAATAAGTGATATGATCATCTCAATAGGTGCAGAAGCATTGATAAAATTAACTATCCCTTAAAAAATACCTGAGCAAGTTAGATATAAAAGGGTTGTACCTCAGCACCATAAAGGCTATGTGTGACAGTTGGCATCACAGTGAACAGAGAACAACTGAAAGCATTTCCTCTAACACTGTGAACAAGACAAGGGTGCTCACTCTTGTTCATTGTTGTACTAGACACTTTATCCAGAGCAATTAGGCAAGAGAGAAAGAAAAGATGCACAAATAGGAAGGGAGGAAGTCAATTTATTCTTATTTGCAAGATTCTATACACAGACAAATGAAGGTCTCCACCAAAAGACTATCAGAACTGATAAATCCCTAGTAACACACACACACACACACACACACACACAATTCAGTACATTTTTCCATGAATCAATATTTAATTTTCTGAGAAAGAAACTATGAAATCAATCCCATTCACAATAGCTACAAAAATACATAAAATACCTATGGATAAACTTAACCAAACAAAAGAAAATCCTTGATATGACTGATAAAAGAAATTGAAAAGGACACACAAAAAATAGATTTTCCATGTATATGGACTGAAAAAATATTATTGAAATGTTCATACTACCCCAAGAAATCTACAGTTTCAATTTCCCCATCAAAAGAGCAATGACGTTCTTCATAGAACTAGAAAAAACAATCTCAAAATTCACATGGAAGCACAAAAGACCCCAAACAGCCAAAGCAATCTGTGGCAAAAAGAACAAAGCCTGATTTCAACACTTACTGCAGAGCCGGGGTAACCCAATCAGCAAACATTGCCATAAAATCAGACATAAACAGTGGGACAGAATAGAGACCCAGAAATGAACCCATGCATCTACAGCCAATTTATTCTGCACAAAAGTGCCAAAACAGAGTGGAGAAAGGACAGTCTCTTCAATAAATGGTGCTGGGAGAATGGGACATCCACAGGCGAAGATGTAAACTTGACAGTATCTCTCATCTCATGCAAGAACCAACTCACAGTGGTTCAGAGGCCTAGAGGGAGGGGCTGGCACTCTGAAGCTACTAGAAGAAAACACTGGGGAGACACTTCAAGACATTGGTACAGGCAGTAATTTTCTGGATAAGACCCCAAAAGCACAGAAAACAAAACCAAAAGTAGACAAATGGAATTACACTGATCTAAATAGATTCTGCACAACAAAGGAAACAACTGAAAAGTGAAGAAACAACTTATAGAATAGTAATGCATATTTGCCAACTAGTCATCTGACCTAATAAGGAATTAATATCTACAATATATGAAGGAACTCAAAAATCTTAATTAAAAACAAGCTATGCATTTTAAAATGGGCAAAAGATCTGAATATACATTTCTGAAAAGAAAAATACAAATAACTGACAAATATGTGAAGCAACAATAAAAACATGCTGGTGAGGATGTGGAGACAAAGGCCTCTTCCACACTGTTGGTAGGAATGTAAATTAGTATAAACACTAAATAAAGCCACATGGAGGTTCCTCAAAACTGACATGAGACCTAACATACCATGGCCTATCCTATGCTGGGTATAAGCCCACAGTGATGAGGTTGCCATATTAAAGGACACCTCTATGTGTACACTTACTGGGTAGTGTACACAATAGCTAAAGGATGAAATTAGCCTAGGTGCCTAACAACAGGTGAATGCTGTTATGGCTTCTGTCTAGGTGTCCCCAAAGCCTCATGCAGTCACAGATGGGGCTTCATGGCTGCATCTAGAGTTTGTGATCCTGGGATCAAGGATGCATTGCTAGGATTAAGGGTGTGAGTGCTACCTACCTAAGGGTGGGTAGCATGGATAAAGGACAGAAAGAGGGTCATCCCTTGTTGCTTTTGGCTTGCTGTTTGCTGCCTTCTGCCTGCCATGAACTGTTTCTCCACTGCAATGGTTCTCCGCCACGCCACCCTGCCTTGGAGCCAGCCAAATATGAACTGAAGCTTCCACAAACTGTGAGTCAAATAAACCTTTCCTTCTTTAATTTTGAGTGTTGAATATTTTGTCTCAGCAAATGTAGCCAAGACAAATTAATTTTTAAATTGCAGTGTGTAAACAATGGAGTATTATTCAGCTACAAACAAGAATGAAATCTTATCATTTGTAAGAAAATGGAATGAACCAGAGGACACTACAGTAAGTGAAATAAGCCAGACACAGAAAGATAAGTACCACATGTTCTCTCATATGTGGAAACTAAAAAGTTGACCTGAAAGGAAAATAGTCATTATTAGAGTGTGGGACAGAAGGGTAGAAAGGGGTGGTTAGATTTGATCAGTGCATGTACATGCATGCATGGAAACATCACACTGAACTTCCTTAGTACAGTAGGTATGATTAACACATGGTAATAATAAAAATAATTAGGAAAATATGCCTTTACTAGAAATATGTTTTCTTTCATAATTAAAATGAACTTTGACATTACTCTGAAGAAATGGCTATTCTGAAATAAACGCTTATTTTCTAATTATGTGTTCTTTAAGAAGTAGATGTGGAATATAACAGTTGTTAGGAAGGGCTAAAGCCCTGTGGTCTACACCTCCATACACCAATCCAGTTCTGCCCCTGGAGTCCCCAAAGAGGGAGGAGATCACTGTCTAGGAATAATGCAGAACTTGCTAAGTTTTCATTCCCAAACCTCTAAATCTAAGATATTAAAATGTGCTAAGTACCTGGGGACAGGGACAGTGGGCACACCAGGTTTTCCTTCAAATACTTGACACCATGGTTAGTTACCAAGAAGGAAGTTTTAAAACAGTGATAAACAACCCCATGTGGCCGTCCAGTTTCTCTAATTAGCCTATTAACCACCTCTATCATGAGCGATGAAAAGCTGTCTTTCAGTGATCCAGAGTTTTAACCTTTCAGTGATTACAAATAAAGCAGGGTCATTCTCCTCAGATGGCAGTGCTGCAGACAGTGAGATAGGCCATTGCATGCTGAGGCTGCCTCTCTCTCCTCTGAGGGCTTCCTGGTCTGTCCCCGGAAGGCTGACTTCAGGACTGCACTCAAAGGACTTCCTTGTGCTCTGGCTTCTACTGGGGTTTGGCTGGTGGAAGGGTTAGCACTGTGCTGGAGGCAGGGAAGAGGCCAAGGGATTTGTTTCTTATGGTGTTGCCTGAGCGGCACCTCTGACCCCACCGAAGACACGGAAGGCCCCTTGCTGAGCTCTGACTTCCTGCCTTGCTTGCCCCAGAGGCACAGGTGGTGGCAGTTTCTCGTGGGCGCTGCTGTGCTGGACATCACCCTGCTGTGCTGGGGGACAGACCCCTCAGCAGACCCCTTAGTTACCCATTTTGATGCACCCTTTGTCTCTTGCTGCGGTCTTCACTGATAAAAAGATTGCGTGTGTGTGTGTGTGTGTGTGTGTGTGTGTGTGTGTGTGTGTGTGAACTGTCAGCTCATTTTAATTTTGGATGAAAACAAAACAACTCTTAAACACTTTCATTTTTCTCCTCCACCTCATTTCAAGAAAAGGTATTCAGCACTGCTTTAAAATCACCCCACCACAGCAGAAATATGCCAGATGATTTATTTTTTATTTTTTTGGTACCAGGGATTGAACTCTGGTCCTTGTGCTTGCAAAGCAGTTGATGGAACCACTGAGCTAAAAACCCGGCCCTATGCCAAATGATTTTAAAAGGAATGGCTTCCATCTTTCAAGCCCAAACTGCAAGCTCATTCAGTGTCCTCAGTCAATTTTGAAAAGAAGAATTCATGGAGCAGAAAGACCTCTGCTAGGTCTTGGAAGCCAAGGACGGCATTGGCAGAGCTCTCTGGGGCCTGGTGGGGACAGCTCTGCACCCTTGGCCAGGCCATGGCTGCTCATAAACTGCACACTATTTACCCTCTGCTCTGAGTCCACGGCCATCCTCGACTTTCTCTCCTTGGAACTAGGACACATTTGTGTCCACAGTGATCACATTCAGCTCGGGGTGCGACAGGTAAACAGAATGCATCCCTCCCTGCTCTGCCCGCCCTCCCTGGCTCCTTCACCCCTTATGATTGCTGTTAGTTCATGAGGATTATGGAACTGCACTTGGAGGACTGACAAGGTCAGATTTCCGTGCCTGCCAGGGAGAAGGCGCTCCTAAATTTAACTCCCTGACCTCATCTGACAAGTGGGTTTTTTTCCTACTCCAAATCTTTGCTTAAAATTAATGAAACCCTATTATATTCTTATAGAGTCATCTTAGTATTTTTGAAGGTACTTACAGAATAACATCCCTGAAGCGCATGTGTCCATTCACAATGAGATAGGCACCAAATCGAAAGCAACCAGCATAGGAAAAATACATAAATGCTTGTGAGATGCTAAATGTGATGCCATACATGTGTGCCTTCCTCACCGAGTTCCTGAAAAGCAGATTAGAATATTAATAATTAGTGTATTTGGCACTCTCAGCATTAGGAGTGCAAACAGCATAGCTTCTCATCAGGGCTTCGATTCTACCGTACGTTATGCTGGCTTGGGTAAATGACTCGCCTCGGGAGGCACCAGCTTTCTGTGTAGAACAGATAATCACTGCCATCAGAACTGCCGTGAAAACTGAGTGCAGTGAAACAACACAGATGCCCAGCTCAGTGCAGCTCAGAGGGTCCTGCTATTCCTACTTCAGGCCGCATCCGATGACGCAGATGCCCAAGCCCCTGACATAAACATAGCTGTTGTTTCAAAACACCCAAAGTATCACAGCTAGAACTAGCGCTTGAGTCATTCCAATGCAATCTCCTGTTACTACGACCTGGTCTCCTATGACTATATGTAGTTCACACTACTTGGGTTATTAAATGTACATAGCACACAGTGAAGTCCTTCCCCAAGCTAGATCCTACTGGCCCCAGTTTGCTTAGCACCATTTCTAATCAGACCCACGCTACATTTTATTAGGTTTCTAAATCCTCCAGAAGAGTCACAATTTATTTACTCTCAAATTAGGAGACATGTGACAAGAAAAAAAATCAGCATTGCTGATTTGGATGGTACAACTTGGGTGCTGTGACCACAGTGTTACTTACCATCCCTGAACAGTGTACAAGGCTACTGAATCTTTAAATTATGACCAAGTTAATAATTTGCTTCAGCTTTTTATTCCTTGTTAATTCTTTAAAATTCAAAATAAGTAAAGTCCCAGGCAATCGAATATATACACTGGCATATCAGAGCAAAGGGACAAGAAAATGAAGGTATGGTGATTCCTCAGCAGATGGCCACACTGAGACTCCAGGTGGACATGTGCTGCCTGCATCAGTGATCAGCTCTTGTGTAATCCTCGGTGCCTTTAGCTCCTACAGACCTAGTCTTACTTCTTTCTTAAAAAAATTTTCCACTCTTCTTTTGAGACGAGCTTTATTGTGACAGGCCTGGACATGTACACACTTACTGGCTCACCCGGGCCCCTTCGCCTCTCTACTCTGCCCTCCTAGTTTCCCGCGGGCCAAGTGGGGGTGTACTGTGTCATTCCATTCACAGCCAGGCCCTTTATCCCTGCATCCCTCCTCCTTGCTTTTTTTTCCCTTTGTGTTTTTAAAAAAGAGATGTAAATATCAAATCCTGTGGTTATTTTCAAAGAGATAATTACTGAAGAAGGGTCGTTCTTAGGGCCATGCTATCTGCAGAAGTATTATCTTTGGGGATCAGTAACTCAGCCTTGGAAAAGCTGGGCTCTCAGCAGTTGCCTTCTTTACCTGTAAGGCCCATCCAGTTTGTCGACATACATTGATTCAAATTTTCTTTCCTGGGTCAAAGACACAACTGTTCTAATATTTTCTATTGCTTCTGTTGCAATCTGTAATAGAACAGATCTTCATTAGAAGTGGCTCTTTTATTTCTGAAACAATAAAGAATGTGAGGCTTAGGGCTCTGTCAAAAGTATCCCGAAGGAGCTGGGCATGGCGACACATGCTTATAATCCCAGCACTCTGGGAGGCTGAGGCAGGAGAATTATGAATTCGGGTCTAGCCCAGGTAATGTAGGGACATATCAAGACCCTGTCTTAAAATAAAAATTGTTTAAGAACAGCTCAGGGATGCAGCTCAGTGAAAAGACCCTGGATTCAACCCCCAGTATGGCCAAAGGGCAGAGAAAAGAATCCTGAAGGTTATATTTGTGGCTTTTAGATTTCTTCAGTTCAAATAAAAAATTATTCTTCAAAACTAGCCACTCAGGACAAGCCCCTCTGCGGGTGCAATCATCCAGCTAAGTCCAGGGTTTGGGAGACTGGGGGTGTGGGTTGAGGGGGCACCCAGCACCAGGCGGTGGCTGGCAGAGCAGGGTGCTGAGCCGTGGGCCGAGACTGCTCCTTGCTCGCTGGAGATGAAAGTCCTTTTCGCCCTGAGTGCGCCCTGCTCCTCCGGCAACAAGCCGCGGGTCTCTACTTAAATTGCCGTCAGCCGGGACGCGGCGGGCTTCCCAGACCCCAGGCGTGGACCAAGGCTGTGTGGTCACCGCGAGGTGAGGTACTGGTCCGAAGGCGGAACAGGCGGGGCTCAGGGACAGCGGGTTCATGCCAACCCCGCCCCGCGCAAGTCAAGGACCGCCCTGGGGAGCGCTGCTGGGGACTGAGTCAGATTTGTGCTTCTGTAGCCCAGACTCCCAAGCCAGCATCACGTAAGGTTTATCAGCTGTGAGACTTGGGCCTCAGCCCTCAATGTCTGTAACCAGTTGAAAGCAAGACACTACATACCTTCACCTGAGAAGCTTTCTATCTTATTATAAATAAAAATAAAAACCCAACTGCAACAGCCAGAATGTTATCTCCCTGGGTGAATTGATCCCAGAGAACCACAGCAAGCCCAGCCGGGTAAACATTCCTGCTTTACCTCTGCAGAGCCAGAGACCAGCCTCCTCTGGTCAGTGAGCGGCGGAGGCAGCCAGGGCTGCAGGGTGGAGAAAGCAGCTGTGAGTGGCCTTCACTCAGTCCTGCTTCTGGGCCATGGAGGCTGCTTTGTGGGCAGCTCTGGGATGCAGGGCCTTGCCTCAGCTGCAGGGCCGCACTCTGGAGAGTTAAGGAAGTGCCAGCCACCCTCACTGCCGTGGGTACCAGGAAGAGGCTGGTGACGCCCCTAGCAGAGGTGCATGGTTGTATTAATTTGGATTCCATCAGATTATCGTGTTATAGGCACACATGTGACTGTGGGTGTGATGACTCTCAGAGCCATCACATTAGGTTCCTCATCAGGAACCCTTTTCGGAAAATTGAAGTAGGAAGCCTCCAAGTGCTGAGGTACTTTAGCTATAACTAATCTGCACCCCTGATTGTGATTGTGTAGTGATGCAAGGGCGTTCAGAGCCTTCTTTCCAACCCTTGTTTTCTTAGGTAACCAGCAGTGGGCTGAGTAACGAAACTGTAATTGAATTGCTGGTAACTAACATTTAAAGTTTCTAATCTCTCATTATGTGTGCTGTTAGGTTAAAGTGGCTACTTCAAACTTAGCCAACAGTAACAGTGTTAGGAGGAAAATGGTAGTAAATCAGGAGTGTTGATGGGGATGGATATAGTGATAGGGTATTTTTTCAGAGGCTGGGACACACAGAAGTAAAGAAAAGGCCACCCTGGAGCCCTGCAGGGAGTGGCCAGGAGGATCATCAAGGGCTTGGGACCCCCAGGGGCCATCTGTGGCCGGCTGGAGAGCTCAGTCCCCCTGGGTAAATGAGAACTGTCCTGTCTGAAACGCTGCCTGGGAGCTGCAGCTGGTCTGGGGAAGGGTGGGGAAAAGGAAATTATCAACCATGACACACACCAGGTTGTCATTGTAATCTCACCCCTGATGCCACACATCTGAGTCACTTTTTCCCCGCAGGGCTGGGGACAATGTCTGTTCTGCTTCCTAAAACTGTGGTGAAGGCCAGGGCAGTGATGCTCATGAAAGGTGTTAAGTGTGGGCTATGGAAACTATCACACTACATACTCACTATCAGCTTCCGGACTAATGTTTCAATAAAGGGTAGCATTTACAATTGTAAGAATTACAATGTTTGTGATCTTAATCCACACTTGAATATTTAAATGCATGTACATGTAAATGTAAATAATAAAGTATTTCTAGGTCACATTTGAACACCTGTAAAGAGGTAGGAGCTACGGAACTAGATGTGGACTTGGTTCCCAGCGGTACCTGAGCTACACTGGCACCAGGACTCCCTGCCTCCTAGGAGTGCTGCCCAGAAACCGGGGCATTGCTGCCATCTGGTGGCTGCCAACCTTAAAGCTAGAAATCACATCCTAGAAGGAAAAAGTCTCCTCAGCGAGGGCAAATATCCACCCTTGAACAACTCCCTTCTTTCTCTGCCCTAAGGTCTCCTCCTTTGTAAATGTATAACAGATAATGTGAAATAGGAAGAAAAGATCCAAAGGGGAAGTTGGAGGTGTAGGGGAAAGGAAAGTAGGGGAAGGAATAATATAAGGAAAAACCAGAAACAAAGTCTTTGTAAATGGGGAGGGGTGGAGGGGTTGAAGAGGGGGCAGGGGAATGGGGAGAAAATAAGAACCAAGATATATCATGTAAAGGTACAAATTCCCAATGATGAATATTGTATACCTAAAATGTACCAATAAACTTAATGAAACACACGCACGTGTTCGAACGCGCACACACACACACACACACA